CAAAGCAGCAGGACCAGACAACATTCCAGCAGAGGCGCTAAAAGCAGACGTAGCGGTAACCGCAAGGATACTCCACATTTTTTTCAATAAGATTTGGGATGAGGAAAAAGTACCAAAAGACTGGAAAGAAGGACTTCTGATCAAAATACTGAAGAAAGGCGATCTCAGCAAGTGTGATACCTATAGGGGCATCACTCTTCTCTCAATACCGGGAAAAGTCTTCAACAGGGTATTGTTAAACAGGATGAAGGACTGCGTAGACGCCCAACTTCGTGACCAACAGGAAGGATTATGTAAGGATAGATCGTGTACAGACCAAATCGCAACTCTACGGATGATTGTGGAACAATCAATTGAATGGAATTCATCACTCTACATCAACTTCATTGACTACGAAAAGGCATTTGACAGGGTGGACAGAACAACACTATGGAAGCTTCTTCGACACGACGGCGTACCTCAGAAGATAGTCAATATCATACAGAATTCATATGATGGATTACACTACAAAATCGTGCATGGAGGACAGTTGACAAAGTCGTTCGAAGTTAATACCGGTGTCAGGCAAGGTTGCTTACTCTCACCTTTTCTCTTTCTCCTGGTGATCGACTGGATCATAAAGACATCAACATCTGAAGGGAAACATAGGTTAAAATGGACATCTAGGATGTAGTTGGACGATCTAGACTTCGCAGATGATCTGGCCCTTCTATCTCAAACGCAACAACAAATGCAGGAGAAGACGAACAGTGTGGCAGCAGCCTCAGCAGCAGTAGGTTTCAATATACACAAAGGGAAAAGCAAGATTCTCCGATACAACACAGCATGCACCAATCCAATCACAATGGACGGAGAAGATTTGGAAGATGTAAAAACCTTTACATATCTGGGCAGCATCATTGATGAACAGGGTGGATCTGATGCAGATGTGAATGTGCGGATCGGCAAAGCAAGAGCAGCATATTTACAACTGAGGAACATCTGGAACTCAAAGCAACTGTCAACCAACACCAAGGTCAGGATTTTCAATACAAATGTCAAGACAGTTCTACTGTATGGGGTGGAAACCTGGAGAACTACGAAAGCCATCATCCAGAAAATACAGGTGTTTATCAACAGTTGTCTACGCAAAATACTTCGGATCCGTTGGCCAGACACTATTAGCAACAACCTACTGTGGGAGAGAACAAACCAGATCCCAGTGGAGGAAGAAATCAGGAAGAAGCGCTGGAAGTGGATAGGACACACATTGAGGAAAGCACCCAACTGCGTCACAAAACAAGCCCTCACATGGAATCCTCAAGGCCAAAGGAAAAGAGGAAGACCAAAGAACACATTACGCCGGGAAATGGAAATAGACATGAGAAACATGAACAAGAATTAGATGGAACTAGAAAAGAAGGCCCAGGACAGAGTAAGTTGGAGAATGCTGGTCTGCGGTCTATGCTCCATTAGGAGTAACAGGCGTAAGTAAGTAAGTATTGGTTGCAACACTCACATAATCAATAATTCATCCACACTTGATTGACACTCAAAAATATATATGGATTTTCAATTCGACACACAAGCACACACACACACACACTCGTGGTTTCACAGTGTGCTGGCTCACTGTACGCTTGCGGATGTTATTTATCTTTAACAATAAAATATCTCTACAACTGATGTTCAGGCTTCTGAATAATCTCCAGTAAATCCATAATTCTACTAGGAGATTTAGCCTACCTTAAATACTCAGTTAACGGGATATCATTTATTGGAGGAAATTAGCCACAACAGGACAAGTCACCTCGATATATTTTTGACAGATTATATAATATTGGTGTTATTTCTTCTGTAGGTCTCAACATTCCCAACACCTTTTCTGAAATAAAACCTTTTTGTTTAATTTGTTTCAATAATTATATTGGTTATCTTTCAATCCTGTTTACCGTACTACTCTTAATTACCGGTTTCGGAAATTCACTCTTATCATTTAAAACGGCCTTCGCTCTGTTCAAACAGTCGCTTTTATCCATTAGCGATAAACCATGACCTTTGTCTGGATTCGTGATCAAAAACTTGGCGTCAGTTTCATGTATCCGTAAACTTTGCTTGTGACTTTTTGTCAAAATCATCTTCGAATTATGCTTATCATTTAGGTGCCCCCAAATGCCCTAGTACGGCCGGGAGTGGGGAGAATCCGCTCTCCCTCTCGAAATGCTCTCACATGGCCACGCGTATATAGCCTCTACTCACTGCCTTCTCGCACCACGGGTGTTGTTTATTTATTTATTTATTTGAACACATAAATATCGGTACAAGAGAGCGCCAATATATATGCACCACACAAAACAATGAGAATGCGAAGAGAAATTAAAAAAAAAGAAAAAAACTAAGGAGCGCAAAAGAAAAAGAGAACAATAACGAAGAGATTGGTGTAAGGTAGTGTGGTAGTAACGAGGTACAATCAGAAGAAATCTTTCAGGTAAGGGAGACATAACCACTTTTTATGAAGAAAGTAAAAGAAGGTTACAGCAGGATCGCCACTGGCTTCTATTCTGAGCCATATCTGATAACGTCTCTAGCCACTGTGTAGCACCATCTCTCGGACCCCAACTAGGGAGTCGTGAAGGACCGACAGAAGCCAGTCCTTTGCAGCTTTCTTTCATACCACGACACCATGTCATGCACTGACCACTTCTCTGCTTCTTCCAACCAGTCCCAGAGTCGGCAAATAATGCACGACGTGGAATTCTCTGGGACGACTTTCGAAGAACATGTCCAAGCCACCGAAGTCGGTGTTTCAAGATGGTGACACCAATTAAATTATCATCTCTGTGCCCGAACACACGATGCCGAACCTCTGCATTACTGACATGGTGTTGCCACTGGATGCCAGCAATCCTTCGGAGACAGCGATGATCGAACACAGAGAGTCGTCTAACGTCCTCAACTCTGAGACCAGGTTTCACAAGCATAGAGCAAAACTGCTCTCACCGACGCGTTGTAGATCCGACCTTTTACAGCCAGACTAACATCACGAAGGCGCCAAAGGTGGCCCAGATTGGCATAAGCCGCTCTGGCTTTCACTATTCGTGCATTGATCTCATCACTCACGCCACCACCAGCAGTTATGTAGCTACCTAGATACACGAACTTCTCGACTACGTTTATCTGCTCACCATCCAGGGTGAGTACAAGATTGGAATCCTGCCCCCGAATGCCCTGGTACGGCCGAGAGTGGGGAGAGTCCGCTCTCCCTCTCGAAATACTCTCATACGGCCGCGCGTATACAGCCTCTGCCAGGGAAATCTTACTTATTACCTTCTCGCACCATGGGTGTTGTTTACGAAAATGAGAGGACGAAAAGCGAATGTCCGGTGCTTTAACCGGATTCCAAACCAATGGTGCACATGGGCTCCAGTATCCTGAATAAGCAGATGGCGTATGAACCAATCGTTGGTCACCGGCTACCATGGGATTGCATCTCCTTACGATGCTCCACTGCCTTGTGGGTTAGACCTTTAGGTCAAAGGCTCGGGGAGTGGCCCCCTAAGATAACCACCTGCTTCGGTTTGGGCACCCGGGCAGTATCACAGCCCACACACAAATGATGAACTCTTTATGTCTATGGAAATTACTTTTCTCGCTTCGAAAAACGGGTGTTGTTTACGAAATTGGGAGGACGAAAAGCGAATGTCCGGTGCTTTAACCGGGTTGTTGGACATGGAGAGTCCACCTAGAGGAGTTGGAAAACCCTGATTCCAAGCCAATGGTGCACATGGACTGCAGTATCCTGAATAAACAAATGGCCTTAGAACCAATCGTTGGTCATCGGCTTCCATAAGAATGCATCTCCTTACGATGCTCCACTGTCTTGTGGATCAGACCTTCAGGTCGAAGGCCCCGGGTGTGGCCCCCTAAGAAAACCACCTGCTTCGGTTTGGGCACCCGGGCAGTATCACAGCCCTTACAGAAATCAAATGAGATTTGTGTGGCGCAAATGTATTTGGTGCCTCTTTGTACAAATATCTATGTTAAAATTAAAATAAAATAATAATCTTTTGATGGAATTACTGACTGCAGTTTGGACATAAAGGTTTTCAATTTCAATTTCAACGTCAATTTTATTAACTGTTTTTTAAGTCACAAAACTCAGGCCCTAATGATAACGCTTTTAACTCAATCTCATTGAGATTAACAGTGAAAAAATTGCGTATATATCGAGATGGGAATTTTATTTCTGGAATCCGTTTGTTTAGGTTTTACTTTTCCTGTATAAACCATCATCTTAACACGGTTCAAAAATTGTTCCTTTAAGTTAGCAGGAGGTTCTTCAATAGCATCAACTTTCTTGATATTTTTTAAAATTTCATTAATATATAAATTTAGAGAATCAATTTGATTTAGTGCATAACGTTTGAGTCAGTCAATTATATCGAACTTTAAATCGAAGTAAAGATTTCTAATATACTTTTGATGCAGATTAGTTTCCGCACACTCTTATAAAATAAACATTTATTTTCGCTTCACTGAGCCTTGAGGTGTAGTTTAAATATGCATTAAGAACCTTTAACCCAAACTATTGCTCAGATCTCAGTATAGTTACAATTTCCTTTTAGACATTTAGTAAAATGACGAATAGACTGGAAAAATTCCCTTTCAATAGGTTTTTTATCAACAGAAACTTTACACCACAAACTTTTCTTTTTGAGATATATTCGAACATTCACTAAGGACCGAATTTAGCGACTATCTGAAATAGTACAATCTCAGAAAAATTTTCATTGAGTCCCGATTGGCTTAATGTATAATCAGATTTGTAAATAGTTTTCACAACTTTGACAGAATCCTTTGTATTGGTTTTAAAAGATTTGAAGGACTATTAGAAATTCCATAAACGGACTCAATCATAATACTGATTATTAGGTTTGGTCAAGATAACCAGTGAATTCATGAATGTTGCATTAGTGTTGAAAAAGGGATAAATCAAATACTAAATTTAAGATAGTACATACTTGTTTTATCTTCAATTCATTTCCAGAGAACTTCACACCTTGTAAGGCTTTTATAAGACGCACTGCGGCCTCCGAAGTCTCCATAATGAGATAAGCGTAAATAGATGGGGGTTTACTCTTTTTACTGCCTACTATTTTTATTGTTTGAACCTAGAAAAAAATCCACATTGAGAATCTTATTTACATTTTAACGTACATAAAACAAAATTATCTTTAAAAGTAACCATCAGTTAGGCTGTAATCATATGATTTCAAATGATGCTTGTTAGCAAAAAGCAGCCAGGCTGCCAAATGCACAAGACATCAAATGATCATATTCGCCTTTTATCATCAGATGGTAAGTATAACCGATCTATACAATCAAAACAATACTGTTTAAATATCTTGTGTTTATATATATATATAACTTCCGTTATTCATCAGATTTAAGCCTCACTTAGTAGTTTAGAAAGCGAAGTCCATTGACGACTCAACATTTTTGAATTAACTCATTCACTAAGGCACTTGTGTATGAGGTACAATCTAATTGTGAGGGCTATTGATACCACTCGGCTGTCTGAACTGAAGCAGGAGCAACAGCTGTGACAAAGTACTTGGCTTAATAGCTGAAAATCGACCGCCTTAGCTACTAACCCACTACTCCTGTACAGTGTGGTTAACAGTCTTTAGGGTAACGTAAGAGTCAATAACAAAAAATGCTTGTTACAGAAAATTAATTGGCTATACGAAAGTGTGACAACACATTGGCTGATGGATAATTTTAAAAGTATAAAACATCCTGAACGTAGTAAACCGTACTCGTTTGACTTTAATGACCTAAACCACATGAAATATCAATCAGATGATTGATAAACACATAATTAAAGAATATTTACGACCATTATGCAGTTTTCTTTTTCCGTTTTATCAATTACTTCAAATAAGAACTGCAGTTCAAATGTTACTAAGTTTAGATTCTAAGAAAGCAGTAATTGTTATCGATAAAAGACGCAGTCAATAAGACAACAGTATCAACAAACAACTTACTTTTCCGTATGGTGCACACATTTCTTTAATATCTACTGCTCGAACACCTTGAGGGAGATTGCTTATCCATAAATACTTTGACGAGGATACTACGAAAATAAATGGAAGTCGAAAGTATACTCAAATATATGATTATATATAACGACTGGGAGGTATTAGTTTAACACGAAAAAGGTTTAGGTGAACCAGACCCTGAAGAATAATATATTATGTATAGAGTCTGTGACCCAGGTAATAGCAGTTAAATTACAATAATTATTCATCAACTTATTTGAAAAAACTTCGTTATTACTTGAAACTGTTCGACAGATTTAGAGTACTCAACTTTTGTAATGAAGATTATCAATCCATTAAAGGGTCCGAATTAAATGAACACGAATTCCAATAAAAGTCAACTTGTGATATAATTCAATCACATATTTTCACCGCCGAAACAACTTTAATCTTATTCAAGCAAAAATGAGTAAACTCTAGTGGGTAATAATAACCTCCATAATGATAAATGAGACAACACGAGAATTGAGTCAATAAAATAAAGAATTGTCGGGAAAATATATAATCTTTACATACGATAAAGATCATCCATTATGCTGTTTCTAGGTAAAATGATCTACTCCAAAGGCTATATTGTTTTCATTGGCATTGTAAACTCAGTTTCAAAATTATATACATATAAAAGCTAGAGCACTATATTTGGATAAATTTCAATCACTTACGATCGCTTTTTGATCCATCGTTTGTTACATTTTTCGAATCAGATGGGGAACTAGAGCGATTGGAATGTTCAGGATGGAGTACAGTAGAAATACGATGAAGACCCTCGTTAGACGATATACATAGGCGCTTAGAGTCATGATGATTATGAAAATCTAGCTTAGATTGAAAAACTGGATTATTGGCACACTGTAAAGAAATAAAATATACTTAATCGTGACAACTGAATGTAAAGAACCATCAAGTACATATGATAGGTTGAATTAATTCCATATCTTAATTATTTTGAACGGTGGTATTTTGGGTGATGTAAAAATCAATAAACATAGTACATCTCCGTAATAGGAACAATAATTTATCTTGTAAATAAGATGAGCTCACTTGGAAAGGAAAAAAATGGTTAAGAACTGGGCTTCAGTCTTGAATTAATAGGGCACGGAAAAATACTAAATCATTTTCATATTAAACGTAATAAAGTTTTTAACTTTCATATGTAGACAAGGAATAAAGAAATAAGCCAATGCAACTTAGTAATCAATTACCGATTCCTGTACTTGGAGCTTTTGGAAACTATAAACAGAAAGTGGTTACTGTAGCGAAATAGAAGGGATAAGACTTAGACCTATGATTTTATGACTGGAATTTGAGTGCATAATATTAAAACATGAGGTTCGGGACTGTTTTCCGAACTATTATTGTTCATATTTTTATTGTACAGTAAGTAGATGACTGTATAATTGCATATCTATATTATTCTTATTGTAAACTCCCATTTGACTCACTAACCATCGCCATACGTCTAATTATTCCTAAACTGTTATCAATCGACTACCTACAATTTGTCCGTCTTCACTACCACTTTTGGCATATGTGTTTAAACTACGATTTTTTATTTTATGGTGCACTGCAACCCAATTCCTTGTGTGTATAAGCCAATGAATGCTTGGGATAATTCCTGAGTTGTGATGGTTGGAATATGATATAGTAGTTTGACTCCAGTTTTCCCTTTGGACTTAGGGTTAGGGATAGAAAACGATGCATATTGGAGAATCAGTAAGAGTTAAAATACGTTAGCTCAAGACGAATTGTGTTGGTTAGAACGCATCATATCATAGGTCAAAACCTAAGACGGTCATTAACGTAATATTAGGCGTGGGCAGAGAAAATACCACAACTCTGACTGGCAAACTTAGCAAATGATATAAATCAATCGTTAAGAAACAACACTGATGAATTATCAAGGCTTATATATATATATATATATATATATATATATCACGGGTAGAATAACGCAGCGTTTATATACAAAACTGCAACTTACAGAGGATGCAATGCTAGGGGGAGGTGGTAATCCAGTGGGAGGGAAGAAAACTGGTTGTTGTTCACTAGATAGCGTAGGTGTATAATTATGAACTTGTAAATAATAATTCAGATAGTGATTAAAATAGCGATGCCACTGAGATGTGTATTCCTGTGTATTAGGGGCTAAGTTACTCCCGGTATTATTAGACATAAACTTTAAGGTCTCTTGATAGGCGGAAGAATACGCCATCGAATAAGCAGTCTGTATACTAGCTGACTGTGCGTGATTAGGAATAATTGCCGGTATATGAGGATTTTGACCAATGCATTGATTAGGTACATCTTTGAGAACGTCATGAGGAAGTTGAGACGCCGGGATGAATTTGGACGGAGACACAGATGCTGGACGTTCAACGGCAGTAACAGGCATCAGAGTCGGTGGAAATGATTGGAGAGGTATTGAAGGAGGAGAACCAATAGCAGTGCCGAAAGGTGGGGGTTGGATGCTGACATTAGGTGTTGATCCAATAGTAGCTACAGCACGCTGATAAAGTTGACAGGCTTTCTGATACATCATATGCATCTGAATTAAATAAATCACAATATACCCTCAATAACTCCTGATAGCCAAGGGCTAATGAAGTAAACATACATATTAGGCAGATGAAAAATAAAGTAGCACACGAAATGCATAGAATAAACAAACTGGATCTGTAGGAGTATAGCCCAATTACAACTTATTTGATTAGGCAGCATGATTTTTAAAAGCTTAACTAGTTTGTGAAAAGGCGACTTATTATTTTTATGGTGAGTTGACAGTCTACAAACCGACAATGGAATGTTTAGTGGTTGGTTCTGGATAAAGCTGAAGGTATTCATTGTTGAATCAAAAACTAGAACACAGGTTTTAAAAGGCTCACTAACTTTAGCGATTTATCCTAATTGATGCTAGAATACTATCACATGCTTAAATTTCGAATATTTTTATATGTATTTAAGTTTGGAAATTAAAATTTTATCAACAAGTTTAAACAAACAATCGAAACTGATAAATTGAAATTAATTGACTCCCCAGTATTTAAACAGTTCGTAGTCAAACTTATCATATCAGATCGAATTTTACATAAAATTTCGTTTTGGAATTTATGTGTTGAATTAACTGACTTATTATGATGTTGAATCAAGTTACAAAATTAAAACGATAATCTAGCCCTAATATCATTTTACACACTACTGTAATAAAACAAAAAACAACAGTGACGTATGGTTTATTTAGAAAATCCAAAAATATATGCATAACATGATGAGCGGTTCTTACCTTTTCAATTTCTTGTTGAGAACCTAATGCAGATGAAGGAGGAATGGCTACCTGCCAAGAGCCGGACAAACCAAAACGATTATCACCGTTAACGTTTTCGGAAACGGCTTTAACAGAAGCAACCCTTTGCACAGAATTTTGTGCTAGTTTTGGTGTCCCACCAGGGACAAAACCAGGAAACACACTCTGATGTACTGTATTTTATGGATAAAAACAATATTAATTATAAGTGCAATATACTGAAATAACTACAGCTCCCACAAATGAATTTCATTTATCACTTAAATACATATGCAAACTTGTTATCAAACCTAAATTCTTCAGGTGATGAAACAAGAAAAAGAACACCAACACTCAACATGATTTTATATTTTATCAAGAAATAATAAGTGATAAAATAAATATTTGGGAACAAATAAGCCATGCAGTGTATACAGTATTCCCCGAAACTTAACTCTCAAAAAAGAAACTGTAAAACTTTCTATTACTTAAATACTTGAGTATAACAAACTGTCAACGATAACGTTTGAGTATTGAAGCGACGATAATCCTAGGAGACGGCATAATTTAAGACACGAGGAACAGAACGTACAAAACTCATAGACGTAGAGGATTAAATTATCACGTTTTGCAACAGTACGCAATTTAGCGAAGCTAACAATGATTCCAAAGTAAAAGGCTGTGTAAACTATGGAAATGGAGATAACAAAGGCAAATGAAAGGAAAGGAAAAAGGTTTTCTATTAGCAACGGATATTCTATGTAGTCGGCGGTGCAATTGTGGTCTATAGTAGAAGCCTAACTATGGTGTATTAGAACCAACAGTTTAAATATTGTGCGAAATTATATTTTAGTTTTACTAGGTATAAGATGGTCACTCGAAATGGCAATAACATGATACGTAAGTTAATTTTATTCACTTACTAGAGAATTTAAAAAACATCCAGGCTGGTTTGACAAGGTTTTAAAATCGAATACCTTCGACAATTTCATCAGTTACTAGTCCATTTTATCAAAAACAGGAAATATGTATGTAAAAACTTGACAAAAACTTTATGAAAGAAACTATTACGTATTAACACGTACATGCCTTAAAGGGTAAGGAAGCAATAAACTGAGAATTTGGATGGGGCTTCAGTCTACCGATATTTATGACAGTATATATGCATCTAAAGCTATTGTTATGATGATAAGATGATGAAATATATTAAAGGTTTTCAATTGTTTAATTCATATTTCTCAGGTAGGTATTCAAATCTAAAGAGCTAAACATGAATATTAATGAGCTAAAAACAATTTGTGTCTGGTTGTAAATGCCAGTTTGTCACTGAGTTTCTCTTGCCTTCAGGTACACATAATTAAATTTATAGTTGCCTTTATAAAAGACAACAGCAGAAAAGACAAAACGCTCGCAAAAATTAAGCTTAAAAATGCGCATACCTTGTTGAGAGGAACTGGGATAGAGAGTAGAAGTATGATTATGTTCATTCTGAAATGGATAGAAAATGGAGTTGATGAATTGAAGGATGTGTAGTAGCCTTCGGTTATAATACACCGTAAAATCCTCTCACACACGGTTAAAAATTTCATCAAAAAAACACCGAATACTGGTAATCACCAAAATAACTGCTTTAAAATACTTTTTAATATGAAAATGAAACATTCAATTAAAAGCACATATAAATTATAGATTTGCGTACAACCACGTGGTGGAAAACTGAATTCCCTAGGTGGCCAGAAGTTCAATACACAAAAATAAAGTTAGCGAGCACATAGCTGACGTGCTCAACTACTCTATGGTATACATTCAATCAGGACGCTGATGCAACAGTACGGAATCAGCAGTTTGGAAAGACACACGAATCCCGAACCCTATGTTGCTACAAAGGATGTTTATTAGGAGAGATTGTGTTATTGATGAATCTTTCAAGGAAAAATAGGTCAATCTACAAAATATCAGATAACGAACGTATCAATTCTAGTAGAATATTTGACTGAGGGGTTTGACGTACAGGTACTAGGCCGCAATTAGGAACTCTGCCCTAAATTATTTGGTTTGGGTAGCTAGTTAGTATCATCAAATCACATAGTGTGGCTGATACCACAGCAACTGTTGAATAAGCTATTCTTATTCATAAAATATTTTTTAACCTCAGTAAGGTCGAATAGAAAGTCTATAGCGGAGTAATTTATCGATTTGTCACGGTTTGATATGATGGGCAATGTCACAAGATCGTCCGAACAGGAGTCAAACGCTATTTTCCTATCTAGTACGAACAGTATATGAATATGAACCTTATATTATTCATTAAGCAGGCCAATAAATTCTCAGCTCCGCTGGTTGAAATAGATGTATAGGATGACATGACTAGGATAATAAGAATAACGAATTGTTACTAAGTTCAAAAGATTACATTATTCATTGAATGTAAACGTTTCATTGAATTTTGTTGAGACCTCTATTGAATGTATAGAGAACTACATTTCCGGTTGATTGTAGAGAAAAAAGAACAAATGGTAAACCGACTAAATTTCAAACTCTTAGAAATTTTATTTTCCTTTTTAATACTCGTTCTTTTAAATATGCGCCTTCTTAACGGTCTCCCTTGTTAACGATTGTCCCCTTGATAGTGCCCTTACAAATAGATACCAGCGATCACCACTCAAGCTTAAAATCAAGTGCAGACTTGCCTTCGCCTATGTTTTAAATCCGACCACATAGGTTTTAAAGCATCTGTGGTAAGCCCACTCAATTATTTCATTATTTGTCTACTCGCTGTAATTTAGACATTTAATCCATTGTGTAAAATTGTGTGGGTCCAATTGGGCACATGTCTGTACATTAATCTTTATCTATTCTCCACAATCGACTAACACTCATAAGTATACATGGATTTTCAACACACACTATTCTTTGCGTGCTTGCTATCTGTGCACTTGAAGACGTTTACTAATCATTAACAATAAACTATCTCTACAACTGGCGTTTCGGGCTTTTGAGTAATCTCGAGTAAATTCATACTATTGGAGATTTAGCCTGCGTAAATACTCAGTTAACGCGACACTATTTATTGGCATCAGATATAGAGGAAATTGACCTTTACACGTCCATTAATCAGGGAATCATCAAGATTCACTGGTCTTATTTATGTGCTAAAGGTTGTTGCGAGGCGTTACAGATGCCATTAGAGTATCGGGTTTTATGTCAAATGATTCTGCTTTATGTTACTATGATTGCGTAGCTTGTTCCTTTTTAGTTTCGTTTATTTTCATGAGACCAGGTCCAGGTCTTGTAACTGTCATCCCTTTAGTGATAAGCAAACACATGTAACGAAACTGCAGGTGGTTGAAGAGTAATGTCTTCAGAGGGCGAAGATACTATAAGTGCAATGCAATAAATTAAATAGGTAAAAACATCGTATGTAAAACCTAGATGCATATCAGTACAGGAAACGTTTAAAATAATATCAGTTTACTTGATTAGTTGCAACCTCTAGTTGCATCTGTAGCTGCACCTTTTCTAAGTCCCGTAGACCCTGAAGATGTTTAGTTGACTTAACAGACATTGAGGTATGAAATGGTTCAACCTGCTCCGACAATATTTGTGGATCTAAAGGATATTTTGAATGCTGTAGATTCTTACCTGAAGCCCTAGCACAATTGACTATAGACTGCAGCTTAGTTGTTTGGTTTTCATGAGACGAAGTTTGACCACGAACTTCTGATTTGGTATTAGCAGGACTTGTATTTGTTTCCTTTGACACATTGGCGGTATCCGTTATTTTGACAGGTCTACTTTTATGGGACCGGATATGATGTACTGATGGTATATTTAGCGTAGAAAGTGATGATCCCCCGTTTTGTGACATTTCTGACGTACAGCTCTCATCTCCATGCTTTGGTGATGGGTTGTTGTAAGACTTTGATGAACCGCTATTACTCGAAAAGTCTGAAGACGACTAAGTCATTATTAAACCTCATACCTGAGACATTATCTTCTTGGTCAGACAAATCGTTGACCTCTCCTTCCTCTGCCTCATCGGGCTTTAAGTGAGAATCTAGTACATATTCTATTAGGCAGTTAATTAGCTGGTCGGTATTTACTTTTATCAGTAATTCGTGACTCCACGTTTTCCCTGGAAATAAAAATAAACTATTTAACGCTCAATACTGGGAACTAGATTTGAAACCGCAAACTTTATGTTGAAAATCCACTACTTTGGAAAGTTACTAAAAACGAGTCACCAAGATAGTTCAGACGAGGCATGAATATATATGGAGGAACATTAAGAGTACCGATGACACCTTAGTTGATGTTATGCATACACCCTAACCGCTTACTGGGACCCTCTTAGATTGTCAGGGGATTAACTTCGAGGCTACATATTGCTTGCACAAATAGCTAAATATTCTAGTAACGAAGTTTTTTATAGTCTGTCAAGAGAAACATTCAGTGGATAAACATGAAACCTGTCGTTTACTGCTTAAAAATCAGTGAAGCATCCTCATTCTTAACATTTTCGAAGTAAAATACAATAATGGATCAACCTGAGATCAATGTACTGGAGCAATACAGGGAAAATCTCGACTAACTAACCGTGAGAACAAAGTGAAAAATATGGCCACTCGTCTTACAAGTACACACGCGAGACAACTGTAGGCAGAAAATCAGTTACAGAAGCCATGATAGCTAGCTAGTTATATTAAACTAATTAGGACAACGTAATAAAGAACTATCCACACGGTGAAATCAACCAAAGAAGAAACAAGTCGCGAACTGACTGAGAAAACGCTTACTAAGTAGTGTCATGTGGCCACACATGTTCAGATTTTTATCTTTGTACTTTATTACTACAACAGAATTTTTAAGCCAAATCTACCCATGGGACTAGTACTTAACACTATCTGTGGGATTAAAATTTCCTTCTTTAGATATACACTCCCTGAACTTGTGAAGAGCTGAACCTTTGTGAGAAACTAAAAATAATGTGTTTTGAAGACAAATTATGGTCCGTTACTGCCAAACTGAAGCATTTAACCTGAATTCGAAGAGTTTGAAGCCTTCAACTCATATGTCCGGAAGTTTGGACTATAAACAAAACATTGTCACTGCTCCACGGACTAAAAGGCCTTAAGTTTGATCGTATATTCAAAGAACGGAAAACAATATACACGAAGACGAGAAATAACGTCTGGACCGATGACCGGCACATCCTCACATTAATATTAGAAAGCCCGCCTGTGACGCATACTCAAACTACTAACCTAAAACTTTCTGTCATGTTCCTCGAAAATTAGGAAGAGGTTGACTTGCATGTGTTGCGGTCATCAGTCTATTTAATGGGCGTACATGACTTGGTCTCACAGGTGCATTCTGAGTTTCTTGTTTCCTGACTATGAAAAGCGTTGGGTAGTATGACGATTGCTTGTTTCTTCATGAGGATCTGAGACTACTTAACATTAGGATCAACGACATTACACTAACTTTTAATTCTATGACTTGGTAGGCCATTCATCTTAGATGTAATGTGAAGTATAAGTATGATGGATAACGCATTATCAAATATCCCTAGGTAGAAAGTGTTTTCACTCCTAATTTCGCACAACATTAGGCCTTGTAGCAAGTTTAGGCAAATACCTAAGCAGGGGAGTTGACCGGCAACCTGCCGTTATACTAGAAGCACCAGGAAACTTATTTACTTCCCTTATCATATTTCTTATTTTTGTCTGTTGAACGACGAAGAAATTTTCATGTGCGTCCGACCAAGGTTAAACCTTTCCATTTGCTTCAGAGTATGAATTGGATGAACTGCTTCAAATCTACAGATCTGAAGTCTTCGGTATCTCTACTTTAAACGAGGAACCGTCTCTTATCATCGTTTAAAAGACGTATACGCTTAAACCACATATGGGTAAATTAGTTCCTGACTACTAACAGTGCTTTTCGAACGATCTGAAATCTAAGGGTTTATTTTGGTCTTCACGAATATTTTGTGACGCCATTCAGAGTGCAGAAACATGGTGTTTTCACCCATATTTGAGGGATAAAAACGTTTTGAATCGTATTATGACAACTAGCAGTGACCAAATTCAGTATGCTAACTATTAACTCATAACTGTCTAATAAAAGACCTGAAAGGGACTATCCGCCAGCACAAACATCAAACGTATCCCTTTAGTGGTCACAAAATTAGTTCCTGTTATCGATTTAAAAACCTGCGAATGAGCACACAAGTGTACTAAATCCCCGTCCTGCCAAGTATAAAAGGGGTTTTACGTTAAACAAGGACTCGTTACGTTTCTCTTCTAAGAATATTTTAAATCAGCTGCTCAGATTCAGTCCAACCATCAGTCACTGAACGAACACATATAAGCTATAATTATTATGCGCTAGTAACCTACACATGCCTAAGCGTTGTGAAAAAGCCATCTCGAGTTTCGTCATAAATACAGTCAGAAACGAGTTTCAAAAATGTTTACATAGTATTTACAACATTTCGACAGGTTTTTAAAATCTGTAAGGATATTACCCCAATACTATTTTATCCTGTAGCTATGATTGTAAAATAGAGCAAGTGGTGTCGTATGTATAACACCATAGTTCCAAACAAACAAACACTTTGGATCATGTTATGGAGTGCACTACGTATCCAGATGAATTAAAGTAATATGTAACAGGGATTGAAAGTGGAAAATTGTAATAAAGAGAAGGAGAAAGAAAACAAAGAGCAAACGGAATAACAACAGGATTCAAAGAATGCTGAATTTTGTGAAGGACGACTCAAGGAAGATAAGTAAATGATGTATTTGATGCATTATTGTCATTACTAAAAAGGTACTGTATAATTTTGCATAAGACAATAAATTGGTTTACCATACTTGAGTTCTCGTTCATCACAATGTGAGCGGTTATAAGAATGTGAATATGAGGGAGTTTACATCCACTAAATCTTAAGAAATAAATGAGATATATTTCAACAAAAGACCGGGTATAAATAATTACCAGAAGACAGTTGTGTAATAACTTGCCGTCGTATTCTAACTAGCCATAGTGTTATCTCAGTAGAACAATGAATCGTTTAGACTGTAGAATCCTGATCTGATGAAACCGACTGGTCATGATTTGACTCTAATATTTATATAGAAGTCACATTGTTTCCATCCTTAGTCGCTCTATAGTGGAACTCGGAATTTTTTAATTTATGAGGAGCTATGATGGACAAATACAGCCTTACGTACATAAAAACACACTTCATATAAAAATGAAACAAGTACTCAGGGTGACCGCTCTTTTATTCCCGGGCAAGACAGCGTCGAAGTGCTTCCATCGCCAACCTGAGCTTTCACACAACATTAATACGCTAACGCTGAGGTACTAATTAAAGATACAGGCAACACACACATAACACCCGATATGATATTTGGAGAACTGAAGTCCCTTTGATAGAATAAGTCAGCACGTTCTCATTAAAACCGTCCTACAGTATAAAAACAATGCATACAGACCATTCCTATACCGGAACACATCTTATTTTAGGCGCTCCACCTGTAACTTTTCTAGGGTGACTGATGGTTCCAAGTCAGAGTAAATGAGTAGGGTTGGTCATAAGGTCGGCAATCCCAACCCGTGGAAAACAACCCTACAAAAGAAACGCTTACCAGAAGAAAATCATTTAAACTCTGTCTTGGGAGTTGAAGCATCGTTATCTGTAAGAAATATGACACCTAATATTGAGGATCAAGATTCTTTGAAATTCACAAGGCCGATGCTCTTTCTGACAACCAGAGAAACAGTTAACATAAGTATTTGGAACGTTTGGACACTCAGAGAAGCCAGGAGATCAGCCAAAGTGCCACGGAAATTAGGAGATAAGACGTGGCGGCGCTCCGAATCAGCGAAATTCATTGGACTCATGCTGAAAAGCAAATATTAGGTACAGGAAAGATGCTGTTGTACTCTGGTTATGAAGAAAATGTTCCAAACAGTTAGGGAGTTGCTCTGATACTGTCCAAACAAGCACGAAATGCACTCATTGGGTGGGAATCTCATGGATTCAGGATCACCGAGGTATCCTTCAAGACAAAGGAGGTGGGAATCACTATGAATGTTACCCAGTGTTGTGCACGAGTCAGTGATAGCAACGAATAAAATAAGGATCAGTTCTGTGAGAGGCTGCAAACAATCATAGCGAAGTGCCCACTAAAGGATCACCCCATCCTGATGGGAGACCTAAACACCAAAGTCGGGATAGATAGCACTGGATGTGAAGATATCATGGGACGGCATGCACTGTGAGAGAGAATAAAAAATGGAGGGAGATTCGCAAACCTATGTGCACTCAACAAATTGCTTATAGACGGCAAAATATTACCACACAAACGCATACACAAACTACATGGACCTCATCGGACCACACCACGGAAAACCAGATAGATCATATTTGTACCAACAAAAAATTCAAGACAATAGAAGATGTGGGGACCAAAAGAGGAACTGACGTAGCTTCAAACCACCACCTGGTTTTGGTCAAGATGAAACTGAAGTTAAAGTAACACTAGACAGCCGGGGAAACAGCACTACAAAGATTGAATACAACCTCTCTACGATACCTTAACAAACTCAACGAATTCAAGATATCTCTAGACAACAGGTTCCAAGCCTTACGGGATCTACAGAAAGAAAAAGAAACTATGATGGAGGACAACTGGAAAGGGATAGAAGAAGCATTAACTTCAACGTGCCAGAAAGTGCTGAGCCGCAGAAAGCATCATCATAAGGAGTGGACCTCTATCGAAACCCTGAACAGGATTCAAGGAAGGACGAACAGAAAGGTAACAATCAACAATATCCCAATACGAGCAGAGAAAGTCAAGACACAAGTTGAATACAAAAGCAAGTGAAGAAGAACATTGGAGCTGACAAGCAGAAATACTTGGAAGACCCAACAAAGACAGCGGAAAAGCTGCAAGAGAAGAAAAGATGAGACAACTTTATGATACAATGAAGGAACTAGCGGGGAGATACGGTAAACCAGTGAGACCAGCCAAGGACAAAGAAGGCAATTCAATCACTGAAATTTAATAACAGAGGAACAATTGAATAAAGTACTTTGAGGAACACTTGAGTAGACCGGCTCCATTGAATCCACCGGACATCGAAAAAGCACGCACAGACATCAAACAAATCAAGTGCGGAAAAAAAACAGAAGGACCTGACAATATATCAGCCGAAGCACTGAAATCAAACATAGAGGTAATTTCAAACATGCTCCACGTTCTATCCAGGAAGACGTGAGGTGGAACACGTTTCGATAGACTGGCAGGAATGATACTTCATCAAGATACCCGTTGTAATTCGATCTTATTACAACTTAGCTAATCCTATTGCTTAGAATTCTTTACTCGACAGGTCCTCAAATCAGAAAACGGTTGAACAGGAAAGAGATTATGTTCCAAATAACAAGGTTAGATGGAAGTAAGAAGCACAATAGAAAAAACGCTAGTATATTTATGTTTTACGCAAGAAGATTCTATAGTATTTAACAAGTATCGACTAGCGCTGATTAGATAAGAACCAGCCAATCAGCATGCACCGACGCAATCGTGCATCGAGCACGCTATAATCCAGTCTGTGTGCCGCTAACACCTCCCTTTTGAGCAGGTTCATAGAATCTGGTGTTATGGTCCAAGTGTATACGCTGCCATGGTGACTGTGGTGATGGACATAATTGCAATTCTTCTTTTCACGATGCTTTTGTTGCTAATGTACATTTGGTCCACGAACGGGACAGATGTTATAGTTTGGTGTCTAGATACAGTCAGTATACATAACTTCGTGTTAGCACCTTCATGCGATTTACTCCAGGATGTTTTGCGTGCAACTGTTTAAGAACTGCTGGTTGCAGCTTCCTTGTGATTGTGATACGTTTGGCAAACAGCAGGCAGTCATCCATGATTGAGAGACAGTCTACGCTGGTAAAACTGTTGGAGCTCTGTAGAACTGATCTTCGAGAGCCATCCTTCTAGATGGAACTTTCTAACTTCTTGTAGGATTGAGTCTCGAAGTGTTTCTTCTCAGATTTCATCTGACAGCACTGGAGTGTTTCCAATGCCATCTGCCACTATACTCCGTATTTCTGGATCCACTGCTGTGGGGGCGATGATTGTGTCCTCTGGTCAACAGTGATGAAATTCAGTAAATGGAGAGGGAGCGTCGGCTTGACCGATAGCATGTTTGAACTGA